GTTCTGAAACTGTTAACCAGTAATCCCACAAGAAACAACATTACCAACTAGAGTACATTGTACAGATACAGCTGCTTTTGTGTTTAGCCTTCCAGTTTTCAGTCAAAATGCTGTTTTCCGAAGTTACTTAGTTCGGTCCTCCCTGTCCCCCACCCATATCCTGCAGTGAGGTTGTGTCATATATTGTAACACAGATTCTTCTATCACATTTTACATTCTATTCTAGGGTCCCCTAACATCCTGTGGCTTCTTTTTTTTTTTTTTTTTTTTTTACTTTGCATACATTGAAATTCACATTTTGTGCTATAAAGTTTCATGGGTCTTGACAAGTGCAGAGAGTCATTAATCCTCTCCTACTTTGCCACACACAATGGTTCTATCTCCCTAAAAATTCCCTTCTGCAACCTCTTTGTAACCAACTACTCCTCCCTCCCCAAGCCCTGACAATTACTGATATAGTGTTTTCTATTCTATAGCTTTGCCTTTTCCAGAACATCATATGAATGAAATCATATAATATGTAGCTTTTTTTAGTCTGGCTTGTTTCCCTTTCACACGCACCAGGGAAGTAGACACATGTTTGAATGCATCATATTTTTATGGATGAGTAGCCATGCTGGAGGATTAAATAAATTAACAGACTTTGTTTAAAAAAAGTGTTATATGCATATAAAGTCCAGTCACTTGCTGCAGTGCTCTGGCTGGCAGCTAAGCAGAGCAGAGTAAAACAGCTGGGACTATTGGGTAAATATGCGGATGGTAGAAAAAAATCACTACCACTTAGTAGCTCTGTTATCTTTGCTAATTCTCGCCCACTCACTAAACAATTATGGAAGAGTTTGTTAGAGGACAATGAGCTTTCTTTGGGCATCAATGCGGTCTGTTTTGCAATAGCATTCAATCGGTTCCTTGCTTGCTGCTTTCTCGCTTCTGGGAAAATGTGGCCACAGAGCTTAGTTTTCTCTTGCATCTGTCTCCGTTATTTTTCATGGATGTTGCCCACCATCCTACTCCACAAGTGTCTCCAGCTAATGCCCGGCCCCTTGCACCAGTCATGCCCTCTTGCTTCTCAGCTCCACACCCATCCTTCTGCAACCTACGCCCTCATCTGCTGACTTCTTACGTTCTGCCAATAGGTGGTGCTAGAGAGAGAATGGTCTCCTACTTTACTAATTTAGTGTTGCTCAGATAGAGGCAGGTGCCTGTAACCGCCGGGCTTTTCTGGAGCTTCCAGAACCTTCTATGTCCTGTAGAGCCGCCATCAGCAGTGGCTATGCCCCTTCCTCAGAGATCTGAGCACCACTGCCTCAACAACTTGCATCTTTTTCCTTATGTTGCATCAGCTCAGAGGTAGAAGCGAATTACATATCTAATTCCTGAGACAGAAGAAATGACAGGGCCAATAATTTATAAATGATGTAGGGATGCATGCACGTATGTACAAATTAATATATGCATATTTATTTTCTTATAGTTTGCCCTGTTTTCCAAGAAGGAAATTGAGGTAGTTTATAAGGATACTCATTTATCATATACTGCTTAATAGTATATAATTTTATTTGTGGAGATGACAGAGTTTGGTTATTAAAGGAAACCGAATAACCAAACTTCCTCAGTATTCCTTTTGCACATCCAGTCTTCCAACACCTGAGGAATCATTCTTGTATTAAATCCTGCTTGTTCGAAATTCCCGATGTCGTTTCTGCTTCCCTCACTGTATTCTGACTGACAAAACCAGTTAAACGTCCAGTCTTCCCGCCCCATTCTTGTGGCATCTTATTCCTTTAGAAGATTTCTCATTCAGGCCAGGTGTGTGGGCTCACACCTGTAATCTCAGCACTTTGGAAGGCCAAGACAAGAGGATCATCTGAGCTCAGGAGTTCAAGACCAACCTGGCCAACGTGGTGAAACCCCATCTCTACTAAAAATACAAAAATTAGCTGGGCGTGGTGGTGTGTGCCTGTAATCCCAGCTACTCTGGAGGCTGAGGCAGGAGAATCACCTGAACTCGGGAGGTAGAGGTTGCAGTGAGCCGAGACTGCGCCATTGCACTCCAGCCTGGGCAACAAGAGCTAGACTCTGTCTCAAAAATAAAATAAAATAAAATAAAATAAAATAAAATAAAATAAGAAAATATCTCATTCAACACTTCACATGATTCTCTTTTTTGAAGAAAACCTCATGTAGATGTCAAGACATTTTATAAAGACTTTAATATCTATACTTTACAATAGGGGGAGCATGTTTACTGCTTTCAGGGACATCCCACAAATGGAAGGTGGTGCTTTTATTATTCTGAGATGAAGTTTCAGTTTCCTTTAATAACCAAACTCTATCATTTCCACAAATAAAATTATATACTATTAAGCAGTATATGATAAATGAGTATCCTTGTAAACTACCTCAATTTCCTTCTGTGGAAACAGGACAAACTATAAGAAAATAAATAGACATATATTAATTTGTGCACACCTGCATGCATACCTACATCGTTTATAAATTATTGGCTCCGCCATTTCTTCTGTCCCAGGAGTTAGAGATGTAATTTGGTTTTTTACACATGTAAAACCAGCAAATAAACAAAAGAAAATTGAAAACAATAGTAACGGGGAGAGTATTTACATTTTCAGCTACTCCGTTCCCCAGGGTGTGTGGGGTCTAGAGCTCCAGGTTATCACCATTTTACACATGAGGCTTAAACAACAGATTCAAAGAAATTGGTGACTTGCCTCGATTATCCAGCTAGTGAGTGGCAGCTCAGCCGGCTTCACTCTCCATGACTGTATGCACCATTTTCCTAAAGTTTAACGGTCCTCTGCCCCCTACCTCCCAGGTCCCTGATGGTATGCAGTATCTTTGAAAGAATACAGCCGTCCCTGTCAACCTGGATGGAGAGTTCAGCCCCTGGCTTGGGAAGTTAGGCCTCTGACCATGAGTTTTACTCTCCCTCCTTTAACTTTTCCCTCCCGTGAAGAAGAAAGTTATTTTCAAACCTCCATCTGTTTTGTGTTTAATGTGCAGAAAGGTTGCACATTTTCAGGGACCTTGTTCATAAGCAGTAGATCGTACAACAGTTTATTACACAAGTGGAGGTTTTTATGGCTGGCCTTTGTTGAGTTGCCAATTGGGAGAAAGAACATAACGTGCTTAGTAGTCCCTATCAGGAAAAATGAGAAAGCGTTCAATACCAGTCAAATCGTCAAGCATCGGAAAGCTGGTAATCAAATCCAGAAATCCCTGGAATACGGTTGATGAGGAGGGTTTTCTCATCATAGTTTTACATCCATAATCATTTTCCAAGTCCCTGTGTCACAGGCAGTGTCTCAAAGCCTTATGTAAGAAGTGCCTCAATGGTGGAATAAACATTTGACCTAGAAAGATTCATGTCCACTTTGAAATCTGGCCCTGGTCAATGCAGGGCATGAAACTGGAACCCCAGGAAGAGCTTTATATATTTTTAATCACATTATAATGTTGAGGACATCAGCTACGTAGAAACTTGCTTAAGACTTACTAGGCTTCTTTCCGTACCCAGGCCATATTCTCTGTACTCCTAGGAGGGAATGTAATTTACTAGTGGTTTGTCCCCAGCCATGGGGCAGAGGGTAGAAAACTCCACAAAGCATCCTAGTAAACATTGCATCAGAACCATTCCAATTGTAACCAGCCAATGCCAATGGTAATGGATCACTCTTGCAGCTTCCTTTTTAAATGTTCCCAAAAGCTCAGACCATCACAGAAGCTGCCCAATAAAAGTCGGTAGAGAAACATTCCAGTCTTCTAGCAGTTCTCAGCCCAGGCTGAACATCAGAGTCCCTGGGGGATTCCCATCCCAGCCTAATTAAATAAAATCTCTTGGAGTGGGCGAGGACATCGGTACATTCTCCAGGTGACCCTAATACGCTGCCTGGATGGAAATCACGGGTCTAGTCTAGCTACCTAATTTTACTGGTGGAGGAAATTGAGCCTGGAGAAGTTACTGTCCACAATACTTGATTCACACTGCCTTGGTTCTTTCCCAGGGAGGTGTTTTCTCACAATCACTCTGTAACTCCATAACTTCCTGTCTCACATCTCCTAACCTTGTGTTTATAAAAGAGACACCTTCAAACCTAACCCAGTCCGCTTTTTGCTTGTGCACAAATACCGTGCAGAAGCTTGTAGAAGCAATATCAGCTGCTCCCGTGTTCCCGAGGAATATGAAGAATAATGTCAGGACTGTGGAGAAAATGCAGCTAAAAAACCCACTTTTTTCTCCAGATGGGTCATGGAGGAGGGAGTTAAGAAGTGGTCCTTAAACATGAAGGAGATCCCACTTCATGTTCCTTATTAGTCCCTTATTAAATCGTTGTCTGTGTTTGAAAAAACAGTTGTGTTGTGTGTTTGAAAAAACAATCTTACTTTATTCCTGATATAAATGTTAATGGTCTCCCCATCAATTCCCAAAATGTTCTAAGATGGTTATTAAATTTTATGATCACCCTACTCTAGACGAATCCCACCAAAAGTGTCACACATGCTGTTATTGAAAGATCCTTCCTTTTTCAGGCTGAGAATCTCAAGCCTTTTTTCCAACCCACAGGCCACGTTGTAATTGCTTTCTTCCTGGGAGTCTGATAAACAATGTTCTCAATCTGATAGACAGCTAATACCCGGGGGGACATTGGTCGGTAGCCTTGGACTTCTCAGCTTAATCACCCTAGCTTTAATGCCACTTAAATCAGAATGTAAGCACTGAAAGAATTTCAGGAATCCGATGATATAAATTGTATTTTTAGAGCCGTGAATGACTTGAGCGAGTGAAACAGTGCAGTGGCTTAAGATAGTTCGCTTCAGTTTTCCCATGATTTATCGCAAGCAAGTTCACAGCAGGTTAAAATAATTGAATGTGGTGATAGCATACATACTGGCATGATTTTATGAGCCATCATTCATAACATATTTGTCCCGAAGCATAATTTCCATGATAGAACTCTGATTCACATGTAATTTTTTTGCAGCGACGACACAGTTGAAATAACTCTTTTGTGGAGGCTGGCTACATTTTCACAGCGTCTGGTTCCAAGCTAGATCTTCGGGAAAAGGGAACAAGGAAATGACTATTCCTCCAAATAAAATGTAAGTATATCCTGATAAAATGTTCACTTTTTTGGAGAATAAAGAGAAATGTTCTTTCCGGGAGAATTGTGACTCGGAGGTTATGCCTTGCGATCTCTACCTGTTTCTCACTACTTTTTATTTTTCTTTTTCCTTCATTGTTTATTTTCCACTTTTCTCCTAATGTACTTTTTCTTCTACTTATTAGCTGTGTCCCCTGGGCAAGTAATTTTTCCACTCTGTAATCAAACGCTATAATATGGGGATGATAAAAAGTAACTCCACAGGTCAGTGTGCAGAATAGAGATAATGAATGTGTGGGTACATATGGGCCCCCAAACTCAGCTGTGTAAGGAAAGCCACTTTCTTTTTATATTTTTATAACTCGATTTAGTTTCTATTTTGAGTCCCTATTTGGCTTCATCATGGGGAGGTAATCTCAGTCAAAGCAGGATGCACTCATCTAAACCTGAGAAGGATGTCGGATCCATGTAGCTTTCCACCTTCAGCCCTGCCTGCATGTTCCACTATTGTCCCGCCAGTTAGTCAGGCTGCAGGCAGGTGCTACACGCTAGGACTCCTTCCTGGGAACTCAACCATCATGTCAGGTTTCTTGGCTTCCCTGGCTCTCCTTCTCAAATTTGAAAAGTCTTGTCTGGTCTGGAGAAAAAGTTTCCCAGCTTTTCATTTAATCTTCCAAATCTTTGGTTTATGACCAGAACCTGCCATTTGAGACTCAAAAGCTAAAAATATGACTCCTCTGTTATCTTTGTTTCACTGGTTTTCCCTTCCCTGAAGTGTTACAGAAGGCCTAGCTGCCTAATGGGGAGAAACACAGGAAATACCATGGAAAACATAGGGGCAAATATCTCCCAAGAATTTCCCACCACTTGTATGACGCACCAAGAGGAAGGCCTGACATACGGCAGGAAGCCAGCAAAGGTGACTGCACCTTTATATGAAAGTTCCAAGTCTGGTTCCATGTTTCCTGGCTCTGTGCCCTTGAACAAGTTGTCTAACCTTTCTGTGCCTCAGTTTCCCCACCTGCAACATGGAGATGATAATAGTACTTACCTCACAAGGTCATATGTGTATAAAGTTTTCAATGAATTAGTTATACTATCATTGTTTTTACCACTAGTACAAACTTCTGTCCTCTAAAGCCATTAGCTTAATACTATCGGCAACCATAATGGTGTTGATGCGGTTGGCATACACAGTGCATCCCACAGAGGAGAAGGTAAACATATCACAGGGAAAGAGGGAGCTACTGGTCCCAAGTATGAGACTGGGATGAGTTTCCTGGAAATGCGTCCTTCTGGGTAAAATCCGGGTATAACGATGCTAAGCGGTGAGTTAAGAAGCAATCAGCCAACCTCAGTCAAGGGAGTTCTCAGGTGCTAGCAAGGAGAGGCAGATTCTTGAGGATCTAGAGTCTGAATCAGAAGATGGATCCAAGCTTGTAACCCATAGGACAAGATGGAGTCAGAAGAAAGGGATGGGGAGCAAAGTGAGAGAAAGGCTGGCTAAGCCAGTGTGAGAAATGGATCTGGTTGACGATGGCCAGCAGTTATTGGAGAACAGAATACGTATGGGACCTCTTCTGAGATGTGAGGCCACTGAGCGGTTTTGCTGAGGGAGGTACCACTTCTGCGAGCAGGGACAATGAGAGGAAACTGTAGGAGAGAGAATGGTCCACCAGTCCCAAGTCAAATAAATCTTTTTCTCTGGCCCATCCAACTGATGAGCATGAGAATGAGAATGCGGGACCTCCACCCATGCACCTGCCTACCCTCCAGTCCCAGAGCCAGTTTGGTCTATGTTCTCCACTCACATTCTGCCAGGACAAATGAGCCCAAATGGGACAGTGGAAAGGGCATCATATGGGAAGTCAGGAGACCTGAACTCTAGACCCAGTCAATGACCAACTAGCCTGAGACCTTAGACATATTCCTTCACCTACCTGAACCTTAGGGCCCTCGATGAGGAGGTAACACCACATAAGAACAGAGCTCAGTGGGCATAGTTAGCGGTATAGGAGCCACAGGGCCATTGATATGAATTCTGTCTTCGCCATTTACCAGATGTAGGTCAACTAATTTAATCTAAGCTCCAGTGTCTTCATGTATAAAGATGGAGCTAATAGGACACCCCTCATATGATTAATTTGAAGACGAAATTCAAGAGTATCTGGGACATGTTTAGCACTGTTGTGAAACGCTATGTGTACTCAATTGATTGTTGCCAATATCACTATCACGATTATCAGTGGAACCCAGAGCTCTATTAGGTCAGGGGCAACTAAGATGGTTCAGTGGGAGAATTCAAGACTGCAGACCCTGCTTCCTTAGGAAGAGCAGAAGCATTTTCCTCTGTTTTGTTTATCCCTCTCTCTGTCTCTCTTTTTTTTTTTTTTTTAACAAAATTAAGTATTTCTCACTGAATAATAATAATTACGTTATAAATCACTGGACTAGGCAAAGGGTTGGCAAACTTTTTTTTGTGTGTGTGTGTGTGTGTAAAGGACCAAATAGCAAATATTTTCACCTTTGCAGGCCACATGTGGTTGTCCATTGCATATTCTTCCGGTTTTATTAGAGTTAGGGTTGAGTTAGGCTTAAAGAATAACAGCATCTATTAGGGTAGAATAGTAACTATTAAGCAACTATTATAACACAAAACCCCTGTCTGTGTGTAACAGAAATCTCAGTGCCTAAACAATTAAATCGTATTTCTCACATCACAGTAAAGCATGAGTAGGGGGTTAGGGTGTCTATGCCACACAATCTTTTGGGGATCTAAAATCCTTCCTTCTAGTGGTTTCTTCATTTTCTAAGGCTCTGGAAACTTCTGGATGGAAGGAAAAAAGAGACGGGCCCACATTCAAGAACATTTTAAAAATGTAAAAGCTATTCTTAGCTCAGGGTCTGTACGATTATGCCCCGTCAGCTGCTTTTGGCCTGCAGGCCCTAGTTTGCCCACTCCTGGATTAGACCATCTCTCAGGTCCTTTCTGAAGATGAACCAAACGTCACTGTGAGCAGTCTCTTTTCCTTCTCCCTCAAAGTAACCTGGCAGTGAACTCTATAACATCTCCCACTATCTTTCATGTGATAATATTTTTCGTATTTACAACAGTTGTCATATTAAGTGTTTTTGTTACGTTTTATGTGTAATGTTACACAGAGTTCCTTTGTGAACAGTTTTTATAAAGGTGGTGTATTAATTTTCAAGGCCTGCTGTGAGGCAGTATCACTAACCGGGTGGCTTAAAACAGCAGAAATTTGTTGCTTCACAGTCTGGAGGCCAGAAGGCTGCATTCAGTGTTTGAAGGGTTGATTCTTTCTGAGGGAGAATCTGATCCATGCCTTCCTCCAGCTTCTGGGGATGACCAGGACTCCTCGGCACCCGTGGCTTGCAGACGCATCACTCCGATCCTGCCTCCATCTTTACGCTGCGTTCTCCCTGTTGTCTCCGTCTTTACACAGGCCCTTGGATTGGGGCCCACACTGATGACATCATCTTAACGTGGTTAAAACTCCCAAGACCCTATTTCCAAATAAAGTCACATGCACAGGTACTGGGCCTTAGAACTTCTGTCAGTCTCCTTGATGGACACAATTCAGCTTATAACAAGTGGTGAAAAGCACAGGGTTGCCTATTCATAGCTAAGAACTGTGAAATATTAGAAATGAAAAGAACTGTTGCTGCTGCAGGGATGAATAAGACTGATGGAGTGTCCAAACAGCTTAAGTTTTACCCTTCACTGTAAATGGCAGAGAGAACAGTACTACTACTGCTGCTACCTTGAAGAATATAAAATTTGCCTTTTAAAAGTGTTTTTGTTTTATGGACATGGAACAATGAACTAGAAAATATGGCACATTCTTGTACCCTTCTTCTACTTTCAACTTATAAATGCTGTATTCAAAATACCGGAACAGTGTGGCTTGCGGTTACTAACAAAATTAAAAATAAAAACAAAAAGTCTCTTCGCATCCATGTCACCCTCTGAGGGAAATGTAGCTTGGTGCCCTGGAGAAGAAATGGACTTTCTGGTGAATTCTCACCCCTTTCTGCAAGGGTCAGGATTTGAAAATTACTACCAGCTGGTTGTAATTCCACCCTATTTTGAAACAGATGACTTAGACTGCTAAACCATCATGGGGCTAAGATTTATTTCTCCTGCTTGGACTAAGTCACAAAGACCCAATTTGCAAAGTAGAGAAAAGGAGCAAAATTTTTTTTTTTTTTTTTGGTGAGCTCACCTCACCTCTGCCAGTGGAAAACCTACCAATATCTCAGAATTTGCACAAGTGAACTGGGCCATGCCATGCCATCTCTAATATTCCAGAATAAGAATTATTTCTCTTTTCCAAATTTTCACAGCACTTTCTGTCTCTGCACCTTTTCAGTGGCACTTATTATGAGACTTACGTTCTTTCCTAAAGTGCAAATTCTCTGAAATCTTAGTAATTACTCAAGGAGGAGAGGAAGAAGCCTGTGGACCTTGAAATGCTGGAAAGGAAAGGAGAAGCACAGGAGCGAATCTTTCAGGAACCAAGAAGGATGGGACAAGGTTCCAAACTGGGATAGTCTTAACCTGCGTAGGAACACCAAGAAATTGGGAATTTCATGTAAGCTTTGCTGGAAGCCAGCTAAGCCTGTGAGGGCTTCTGTTGGAATTCAGCATCAGGCCTAGAACTCCAGTGAATGTGTCTGAAGAAAATCCTATCCAAAGTTTTTGGCAAAAGCAAGTCACTTAACTTCCCTATCCCTCAGGCTTCTCATCTATATGGTAGGATTAATCATAGAATCTACTTCATAAAATTGCTGTGGGAATCAAATATCATAATGAATGAAAAGTACTGAGCACCTAGCCAGCCTGGCATACTGTTCCCCAACCTTCCCAAATTTATCCACTAGGAATTGTAATAGAGTAGATTTGGGTTGCAACCTGGGAGTCTATGTATTCAGCAAGCACAGTTAAGAAATTCTTGTTTTCAGGGAAATTTGGGAAAC